ATAATCTTAGTAAAGACAATAATATTTAAAGATCTGAAACTGTCGGGTATGTGGTGCACACCTATAATCGCAACGACTTGGGAGGCTTAGGCAGGAGGATTGTGGGTTCAAGACCAGCCTCAGCAATTTAGTGAGGGCCTAAACAACTTAATGATATTCTGTCTCAAAATAAAAAAACAAGAAGGGCTAGAAATGTAGTTCAGTGGTGAAGTGCCCCTGGGTTCAATCCCTGCTATAAAAAAGGTATGAAACAAATGGATACGTGCCGTCTCAGATAATGAATACTTGTTCTGGAAGAGCCAGACATCAGCAAATTGGATCTGGTCTCCGGGCATTGGTTCCATACCATCCTTCCGTAGGTTGTTAGCAGCATCACCACAGACCTTGCATGACAAGCTGGTTGCATCATCATCCTCATCCTCATCATCATAACTGACTGGTCTGTTTCCATTTGCCCTTCATGGTGCATGAAGCCTCTTCTAACTCCTGCTTGCCACTCATCTGTGAGGTGCACATGCCTACTTGTGATGCTTAGGAAAGAATGATGCTATTTCTGGGGATCAACTGGCAGTGAGGCATTCTTAGCCATCAGATATACTTACTTAGGGCACCATTTGTTTCTTCGTGGATCATGATGCTTGCCAAAGAACTACTAATAGCTTCCAAAGATGCTTTTCAGTTTCAGGAAGTGTTTTGAGTTTAGTGAGGCAAAGGGATGCATGCAGTTCAGCCAACAGAGTGAGCTTCTCTGTTAACTCTGCTGTGACAAATCAGGATTTTAAAACTCACTAACCTGATAGTGGTGCTGAAGCTATGAGTGAGTTACCATGGTTTCTAAAGAAGGCTTCATTCTAAACAAATTCATATCATTTGCCATTTCCTTAATAGCCCAAAGCTAACCCTAGATACCAAATGTGTGTTTGACCAATGTCACCAAATTACATCATTCAGTTTAATCAGGTGCTTTATTTTCCTGAAAGTATTTCCATGTTCATTAACTTACTTGGTGTCACAACAGCTGTGCAAGGGAGGTTTAGTAGGTATTAGTGTCCCCACTTGAAAGATAAGGAAACTGAAACAGAGGAGTTGGTAAGTGCAGAGCAGAGCCTTGAATTGATTACATTTACTTAAGTCAGAATTGGAAATGTTGCCTTTTGGAGGCCTGCGTAGACATTGGTGGCCTGGCGAGATCTTTCTCTTGTCATCGGATGAGTAATGTTTCTGTTTTCTACTATTGCCTCAATAACTAATGAGGCAATAGTAGAAAATTAATGTTAATGGTTTACCATTCTCATGACTCCTTACCAGCTCTTTTTGGAAATACCAAGAGGCTTTTACAAGCATTACAAGTGATGACAAGTCAAGTGTAAACAATTGGGTATCTGGAGAACGTGGCGGAATTTAACAGTGAAGCAGATACTTGATGATCCTCACTACCCTGAATGACGAAATTGGTTCTCTTATATCCTAAAGGTTTTAGAGTCATCCACTGCCAGGCTGAGAGCCACCCTCTCCCCTGATTTTAAGAAAGGGAAAAGTAAGGCATGTAAAAGCAAATTGGTTTTCCAAAGGTCATTCATTATGGAAGGCCATGGCCACAAGGAAGGGAAGTCTGAACATATGGTAATAAATTTTTGTGGCCCCCCTCTCCCACATAGCAGCATGTCACCAAATTGTTAGGATTTGGGGGAAAAAATGAGATATGATGTGTGAGAGAAACACAATCTCTGTCTTAAGAAGGTGAAAATCCTGCTGGGAATGTAGCTAAACGATAGAACACTTGCCTAGCATGAGTGAGGTCCTGCAATTTAATGCCCAGCACCAAAACGAAGAAGATGCCATTTGTTTCTTAGGACTAACAGATTTCCCAGTGATTGCTGGGGTCATTGATTCTTCTTAGGAAAATCCCTAGAGGACCAACAACCATATCCACATCTTCAAAACCATCTGTAAGACCACTAGCCTCATGGGAACAACTGCCACTTGGTTACTATGAAATCCAATTTAGCCCTGGCAGCAACAGGCAATTTTCCATTAAGTGTTGGAGCTACAGTCCCATCTTTAGGACCCTCCAGAAATGTGCTGTGAGAATCTGACCCATGAATCTGATGAAAGCAGATTTCTGAGCTGCACGCACAGAGAGATGCACTAATGGAGAGAGAGGCCCAAACTCTGCTGTGTTTCAACAACCCAGGTTGGGGAGCAGGGAAGCCATGCACTCAGTACAGTCTTGTGCCTCGCACCTAGCAGAAACTCTCAGATTTTTTGAGAAAAGGGACTTGAACCCTCATATATATATATATATATATATATATATATATATATATATATAAACCTCTTTTAGAAGTCGATGACGAGATGCGTAGTTTTGCTGAAAAAGTGTTTGCCTCTGAAGTCAAAGATGAGGGAGGCCGTCATGAGATCTCTCCCTTTGACGTGGATGAGATTTGTCCGATTTCTTTTCACGAGATGCAAGCACACATATTCCACATGGAGACTCTGGCCACCTCTACAGAGGGCAGGAGGTAAGTGGCGTGGGGGGACGGCTTAGTACCTGAGCTCAAGGAATTGGAGTTGATGGGGCAGATACAGTTCAGTCTGAATGATGGTTCAACTCAGAGAAAGAACTCTGCCAGAATTAGAAACTCTCCCCCCAAGCCCATTCACTGTATTTTAGGGTGAGAACCAATGACAGAGAAAGAAGAAAGCAGTGAGCCCCAGACTCTCACCCACATCTCCCTGAGTCGAAGCCTCAAGCTACCTATGCAGTTGTTCCAAACCAAAGTGGGCCAACAGCTGTCCTGAATTTACTTGGCCTATATGCAGTTGCCACATAAACTGGAACTCACGAGGCTACATCTTCTAGCTGTGTCCCTAGCCAACCTAAGTGTTGTGTTTCCTGACCTGAGCCTTGCCTCCAGCCAGTCTGACAGCTTTTTGGCCTTAGGGATGCCGCTCTCCATTCCTGCCCTCTGTCCTGCCCATCCTGTGTTCATAATGCATATTTATTGCCTCTCCCGAGTAGTCTTCAGAGATCCCTCTTGACAAAGTCTTATTTTCTTTTACTTGAACTACCCTAGGATTCACTGTGACTACCTGCCACACTTTAGTCCTCAAACCTACACTGACCACTTAGCTGGAATTCCCACTGCTCAGCCCTTCCCTCATCCCACCAGCCCTATCCTGTGATCTTACGTCTTTTAGGAAAAAAAAAACAACAAACCACCTCCTCTGGCATCACCCAAAGAACCTCACACAAGGCTTGTGTTAAATTAGAAGCTCAATAAGTATTTGTTGATTTGAGGAAAGAATATTTGATTTGAGGAAATAATATCGATCCAGGTACTGTGCTAGGGATTTTATATACATACATCTCACAGAGGGGCTAGGGCTGTAGCTCAGTGACAGAGCATTTGCCTAGCATGTGTGAGTGAGGCAGTGGGTTCAATCCTTAGCACCACATGAAAAATAAAACAAAGGTATTTTGTTCATATACAACTATGAAAAAAAATTTTTAAATAGTATATCAATCTCACAGAAATTCTCTAAGGTAGCTATTACTGCACCACTTTTTTTTCAGAGGGGAGATGGAAGCTCACAGAATTTAAGAAACATGAGCAAAGTGACACAATGAGTAACTGTTAGCCTGTGCTCACCGCAGCACTTAGACTCCCTCTTCTGCTGGGAGTAGACTGCCTGGGAGGAATGGTGTCATGTTCCCTAAGGGCCACTGTTCTGAGAAACACCAAAAGCAGCCCTTGTCAGGTGTCTTCAGTGACATCTTCTCTCTCTATACTTGTATTCTATTTCTGACACCTAATCCAATTTCTAATTTTCATTTTTTGTCTTCGAAATGAAATAGCATAATGAAACATTCATCTATTACAGTGAAAATCCTGATGAAGACTTCACTTTAAGTCCTCTTATTTTTAAATTTTTGAACCCAGGAAAAAACGTTTCCAAGGACGGAAGACCGTTAATTTGTCAATTCCAATAAGTGAGACATCTTCTACCAAACTGTCCCACATTGACGAATGCATTTCTTCATCTCCAACCTACGAGACTGTGCCCGATTTTCAGAGAGTGCAGATCACGGGTGACTATGCCTCTGGGGTGAGTTGTCCTTGCCACTCAGACAAAGCTACTGGGAAGCCGCTCAGCTGGGCTCTTAGTTTCTCACCTTCTCCCACTTCCTGTTAAAGAAGGTGTCCTCTCATCTGTCCTTTGTTCTGCTTCGGGGTAGCACTTCCTTACTAATGTGATATGTTTTCTATTCCTGTAATACTTTTATCATCCCACATGGTTTCTCCTCTGTGTCCTTTGCTTGTGTGGAGAACATGGGCAGTGCATGTGCCCCAGAATACACAGGACAGATTTTGACAGCAGGACCAAAGAGCAGCAAGGAGAGATGGTCAAGTCTCGCTGATGACTCCCTAAAACAGGAAAGGGAACCTCAGGGAGGCACAGGAGCTCTAGGGGAAAGATGGACCCAAGGGAAACCCAGAATGGAGCAGGCAGCATAAGCATAAACCAAGAAAGGAAACAGATCAGGAGAAAGGGACAAATGAAGGAGAGGTCAGAAAAAAAAAAAAAAGATGAGAAAGAAATTAGAACATTCTAAGGGACTGGTTTTTTTTTTTTTTTGGACCAACTAAATTCTCCAGTTTCATGTCAAATGCTTACGCAGTAGATTACGCTTGGAACAGGAATAGTAAGTGCATGTTAATAACAACTTGACCTGTTTGTCCTATCCAGAACAGTTGGTCAATTAATAAATCTCTGCTGCACAGACTTGCAGTATAAGTGTCATATTGGCAAAACTGTTATTTAGCCATGGGTCTGTGCTCCAAATATAGCTTTAATGACCAGTCCTGAGCCCCCATCTCATGTAACTGACCCAGACAGGCTAAGTCCTAAGATATTAAGAAGTGACACAGCAATGAAATGCAAACCATTCTTGTTTATTTTTATTTATTTATTTTTATTTTGTATAACATAAGATGATCTGCAAATGGCAGGGTTTGGGACACTAAAGAACTTAAATGAAACATTTAATAGTATTAAGTACATGTGAAACACAGTTTGAGAACTCCAGAGTTCTCAAATTATAAGACAAACTTCATACCCATGAGTTTAGCAGAAATGAAAGCAGAAATAAAAAGAAAGATGGGAAGATTAAAAGAAAGATGGAAGAAAGGACAAGGCACACAGATACCAGGGAGTAACTGCTCCTCCTTTGAAAGCTAGAGGGCATCTGAAACTTGGCTTGCAGTCTTGTAGGACATGTTCTACTTGGTGGCTGAATATAGCTAAGCCACTGAACAACTCCCCCTGGCTGTGGACTGTACCCACACCAGTCTTCATCCTTGGAATGCAGAGAGGTAAAGGGGGAATCAGGGTTAAAGATCTGAGGCCTTAATTCCTGATAAACAATTGATTCAATTTATTTCTTTATCCATTTATTTTGATTGATTCAATTTAATTCGTCCTCATTCAGTAGCCTCTCAGTGCTGGGCATTGTGTGGTAAGTGAGGACAGAAAGGTGAATAAGAACCAGCTCAGTCCCGGAGGACCTGACAGTCTGGCGGGCTCTTCGGTGGCAATGGGACAAGTATACCATTGGGAGCAGACCCCCAGACCTAGCAACTGTGCCAGATTCTTCGGTATTTTATTCTTCAAGTAAAAATACTTGAACTGATTAGGATCCATTCCTATAACTCAAACCATAGGGAACAAGCTTTTGTTTGTCCCAGGAGAAAAAGTCTTTGGACTCCAATTATGATCATTCAATGATTTCCAATTATACTGCCTGGGCAGGGCTGGCCCAGCCATGGGTTAGGGGTGGGGAAGGAAAATGGACCAGGTTAGGAAATTTCCAGTGTTTCTAACAAAGCTTTACTTTGGAAGTTCTCTAGTTTCAGCCAGAGGTAAGGTTCTCTTTCAAACTATCCACAGGAATAACTTGTTACAGGATGATGTTCTGATCCATCCGTCGTTGCAGAAGGCAGTACTTGAGTGATAGGGTCTGAGGGACTTAAGACACTGTATTTATCCCAAAATATTTCCCTGATTGAACAAGTGGTTCAAATTCTCACGATTAGAATTGCATTGTCTTGGGCTGGGGATGTGGCTCAGGCAGTAGGGCGCTCACCTGGCATGCGTGCGGCCCAGGTTCAAACTTCAGCACCACATACAAACAAAGATATTGTGTCCGCCGATAACTAAAAATAAATATTAAAAAAATTCTCTCGCGCTCTCTCCCTCTCTCTTAAAAAAAAAAAAAAGAATTGCATTGTCTTTCAGTTGAGAGATTGTCTTCAGAAGTCAATCATATACCATGGAAGGAAATAAGTATATACCATGTTAGACTAAGTTCTTTTAATCATATTTGTTGGATAAGCATTGTGATGTAGCAAAAGTCAAAAACCAAAACAGGGGGTCTGGGGTTGAGAAAGAAATTAGAACATTCTCATGGTAGAGCATTTGTCTAGCATGGCAAGGCCCTGGATTTGATTCCCAGCATGATCCCCACAAAAAACAAAAAAACAAATATAAGACTATAAGGGAAAGACTCACAGGACTGGTATGTTTTGGTGGAGATGAGTTAGAAAAACTCCCAGACCTGCTCCTGGAGTGGACCCAGAATCCAAATCTATTCAAAAACAGGGGGAAGGAAAGTGAGGCTCATCATGGCCTTCAATACACAGGTGAGCTGGGAGGTGCCAGAGATAAGCTCCACCCAGCATTTAGATTTTTACAGGACTCTGATGCTCTGGCATTTTCTTGGCAGGTAACAGTTGAAGATTTTGAAGTGGTTTGTAAGGGTCTATATCGGGCATTGTGTATACGGGAGAAATACATGCAGAAGTCATTTCAGCGGTTCCCGAAAACACCTTCCAAGTACTTGAGAAACATTGATGGTGAAGCTTGGGTAGCTAATGAAAGCTTCTATCCAGGTAACTTATTTTCTTATAAAATGAAAAGGAAGCCGGGCACGGTGCATGCCTGTAATCTCAGTGGCTTGGGAGGCTGAGACAGGAGCAATCTCAGCAACTTAGAGAGGCCTCAAGCAACTCAGCAAGACTCTAAATAAAATATAAAAGAGGGCTGGGGATGTAGCTCAGTGGTTAAGCACCCCTGAGTTCAATCCCATGGACCAAAAATAAATAAATAAATAAAATGAGTAAGGATATATTCTTTGATTTAACTACTAAATATTACATTTAAACTATGCCCCTAGGTTGCAAGTAATCCAGTCTAAAAATATCATAGTCCTCTCTGGCTCCATTCTGCCTGCTCCCCACATGTCCAAAATCACTTGACTCAGTTTGTACAGCATTTCTTTAAACCTGTTCTTTCTTACCTAATTTAGATCTATATTTCTCCTTGTTTATTGTGGTAGCTTCCAAATTACTGTGATACATTTTAATCTCACATTCTTTCAGTTCATCCTCACTTTTGAAACTCTGTCACAAAATAAAAAATAAAAAGAACTGGGGGTGAGGCTTAGTGGTAGAGCATCCCTGGGTCCAATTCCAGTACTGCTGGTGGGGGGAACTATACATAGATGTGAGTACTTCCTCTTCCGGACAGAAACCTTCAGCTGCTCCTGTTAATTTCAAAGTAAGTCCAGTCTTGAGCCTGGCACTCCAGGCCTGTGGCCATCTGGCCTCCTAACTTCATTTTGTTTCTTTTTGGACTTGCCTGCTCAACCTATCTCTAAACTTATTGTCCTACTCTACCCTGTGCACTCTTCGTTATAGTTGGAAGTATTGCCTGATCTTCGTGTAGCTCAAGACTTTCTTGCTCCTGGACAGCTGGGCTGTTCCCTGTCTCCAGAGCTAATTGACCCTGTGTCCCAGTGTGTAGCTCCAACCTAATCTTTCAAGACACAGCCCAAATACTTCATTTCTTACCTGCCTCTGACCTTTGGATAGAAGTGAACTCTGTGTTCTGACTTTCTGTAACATTTTATTTGTGTGTCTCAGTTTTAACTTTCTACCTTTTATATAAGTTAAATACAGATATTCTTTTAATAGCCAGCCTTTGATAATTTTAGATTTCTATTGTGTTATTACCTGTACCATACTTGATTTAACCAATTTCTACTTTCAGACATTTATATTTCTGATTTTTAAAAACTTATTTCCAACAAGGCTACAATGAATATCTTTGAGAAACTGTCTTTAGGATTATACTCTAGAAATGAAATTTCTAGAGAGGCAAGTATGTTGGATTTTTTTGACCTTTCAAATCGTCATATTATCAAAGATCTCAAGTTCTATGAGCTCATCTCTGTAATCGTGTTAAACATTTGTCCACTTTGGTGACTCATAATATTGGTTTGCCCATCCTCTACAATACTGACCTTTAGAATGGTTATCTTGCCTGTGTAATTTCTCTAATATACTTAAATATAAAAACTATAAAATTGTTATTTAATATGGCCACATATTGTTTCCTTTCTTTGGTGTTTCTTATCTCCCATTTTTTTTTCTTTTTTTAAACTTTTTTTTTTATACC